AAAAAAAAAAAAAAAAAAACACACACACACACACAGAAAGAAAGTAAAATAAATACAGGATGAAACGTTTTCACCATCTTGAGAGTCATGTGTGTGGCGACAACGAAAGGAATAATGGACCTGCGGTGGTGGTGGTAGGCTCATGTTTTCTTGATTATATTGCCTACGTGGACCGCATTCCACACATTGGTGAAACACTCAAGTCCCGCAGTTTCCAAAAGGGATTTGGCGGTAAAGGCGCCAATCAGGCAGTTGCCGCTGGTCGACTTGGTGCCCGTGTGGCGATGGTCAGTGTTGTTGGCTCAGATGGTGATGGAGCGGATTACATTGAAAACTTCAAGAAGAACGGTGTGGACACCACCTGCGTTTTTCGTAAACAAGGTGAAGCCAGTGGACTTGCAATGATTTTTGTGGAGTCTGCCTCTTCAAATAATGAAATTGTGATCTGTCCAAACGCAACAAAGGCTATGACAGTGGACTTCCTTCGTAAGTCGTCTGATAATTACAATCGTTTCTTACCTAAGAGTTGCCGTTTCCTTATTTGCCAAAATGAGATTCCATTGGAAACTACCCTTGATGTTCTGCGTGAGGCACATACACGAGGGATTTACACTGTTTTTAACGCTGCTCCTGCTCCATCACCTTCTGATGTTGAGGTTATTAAACCTTATCTTCAGTATGTTTCTCTTTTCTCCCCTAATGAAGTGGAGGCAACATTAATTACTGGTATTAAAGTGGTAGATGGAGCATCTGCCGCTTCTGCTGCTAAAGCATTACAAAGACTTGGAGTGCGAGATGTTGTGATTACTCTTGGCGCACAGGGATATGTAATTGCTGAACAAGGTTCAGAGGCCATACACGTGCCGGGTATTCGCGTAAAGGCCGTGGACACCACCGGTGCTGGTGACTCTTTCGTGGGTTCAATGGTGTACTTTATGTCTATTGGAAAGACCCTCAAGGAGGCCTGTAAACTGGCTAATGTCTGTGCCTCTATGAGTGTACAGAAGAAGGGAACACAATCCTCATATCCATCACTCGCTGAGCTTCCCGCAGAGGCTAGGCATTAGATGAGAGGAGAGTTATAGTGGTAGTGGTAATGATAGTGATAGAAGTGAGGTGATTCAAATGTACAGAAAGAAAGAAAACTACAAACAAGGAAACGAATGAAAGAATAATGTGCAACAGAGAACCTTTCTTGCGTTGTTATTCTTGTGTGTGGTTGTTGTGAGAGAATATGTATGTGTAGTTTTCCTGGGATCTATACATTAAACAAAAGAAAAATGAAAAAAAAAAAAAAACGGAAAAACGGAAAAACGGAGTATATAAAGTGGGAGGAATGAACTCAAAAAAAGGGGAAAAAACGGTGAACGTGCACTGAAGAAGAAGAAGAAGGCAAAAACTGAAGACGAGGGGTGGGATGAGTTACTCTCCAGAAAAAGAAAAAAAGAAACAAAAACGGAATACTTTTTTTTTTTTTTTTGAGCAAAAAAGAAAAAAAAAAGATTTATTTGCTTGGAAAGTCGGGATTAGGTACACCCTCAGACTTGACTGAGGTGGGAAAAAGAGAAAACGAATGAATAATGTTAAAGCGGTGCGACTCTGTGAAAAAGAATTATGTATACAAAAAAGTGTTTTTTTTTTTTTTTTTTTTTTTTTTTTAGCCAACAGTATGATTGGATATCTTTTTTTTTCTTCTTCTTCTTCTTATGATTCTTTTTCTTCTTTAGGTAGCACTTGGTAGAAGACTGAGGCTGTGGTGGCGAGATAGAGAGGGAGAAGAGAGAACCACGTGAGCCATCAAAGGGGAAAAGGAGAATACATACATATACACAACAGGTACAAGAACGTAAAATATAGGAGAATTGAATTAAAAAGAAAAAGAAATGACAGCTGTTGTATATGATGATGAGGCACTAGTGCCAAGTTATCCAACATCCCCAAAGCCGCGGCGGCAACCCATGACACCACTAAAAGCCAATCAAAGGTCGTATTCGCGGGTGAGTTCTAAAGGAATAATTGGAGATGAATCCCCTCTACTGTTATCACCAATGCCAAAGTACCCTAACCGACGTAGAAGTGTAACATTTGCTGATGAAACAGAGGCTACAGTGCGTGAAGAAAGACCATATTACACGGTACCAGAAATGGGAACAACACCTAATAAGCGATACTCAGAGAGTCCAATAAGGCGACCTATCTTAAAAAATAGATTGGGAGAGAATAACACTGGGATGAGTAATACTACTTTACTTACCACTACTAATGCTACTGCTATGGCTCCTACTTCAAGAGAACAACAAATCTCAGGAGATATGGTTACAGTAGGAGGTGTCTCTAGGACCGCAATGGTATCTGGATCAATTACTCCGAAAAGAGGACGCTCTAACAGTCATCAACGTCGTGCTGCACGAAGAAAACAAGCAGAACAGCAGTATGGTTTTTATGATGACAGTATGGTGGAGGAGTATGTACTCAAGGCAAGGAAAGAGTTAGAAATGGAAGAAGAAGAAGAACGATTAGAGGAAAAGTTAAGAGAGCAGGAAAAGGAGAAGGAAGAAGCAGAAAATAAGGCTGCACAAGCTACTTTAAAGATAAATGCACTTCAGCAAGCAAAAGAATATCTTCTTTCAACAACAAATACTCGACATTCTTCACCTGTGTCTTCAAGCATAGAACGGGATGGTTGTAAGAGTTTATCTCGATCACACCAGAATACACCGAAAAAAGAATTAATCCCTTTGCAAGGAAAAGAGAAAAATAAAGAAGATGTGGAAAATGAGGGACAATTTGAACTTATGAGAAATAATGTCAAAAAGAGTATCAATCGCTCTATGCCACTAGTTGCATCTGTAAATGAAACTGATAATGGTTGCTCAAGAAAGCGTGTACGACAATCATCTTCAAAGAAAGTTGAACACTCTGTTCCTGTTGTACGTATTGATTATGGTAATGATAATGATATGGACAACAGTAGGATTGACAGTGAAGAAGACGAAGAAGCTGCAAAACGTAAAAAGAATAAATTAGAGCGTATTATTGCTCGTGTTATAGAGCAACAGGCGAAACGTCGACATGGTAAACGCAGTGTGGTGGTTATTGATTGGGATTCTGAAGCATCTGATGGTATCCCAGCAGCTGTAGAAGAAAATGAAGATTATGAGGAGAGGGATGATGATAATGTTGAAAGTGAACAGGAAAGTGAAGAGGAACATGATAAAAAGTATCATAAAAAAGGAGAAAAACAAGAATTGCTGGTAAAGGCACCTTCTCGTCAACGTAAAGCACCATCTGTAAAGAAAAGTACAGTTGAGACAGTAAAAGTGGTACCTCAGCGTCAGACGAAACCTCCACCAGCAACTCGATCTGTGACGGTACGTGCACCATCAACAAGGAAACGTAATGTAAGTGTAAGTATTGCCCCAGATTTGGGTGAAGATTCCTTGTTAATAGAAGAAGATCAACCTGTTTTATTACGTCGACCTACTACTAAACGTCGTCTTCCTACACGTTCTATTTCCTATGTATCTGTGGATGCAGAAGATAACGCTATCTTTGAACAGACTGTTGATGTTTCCCGTAAACCTCCACAACGAGCACCTGCTCCAAAGGTGACAAGACGTGGTCGTAAACCTGCTACTACTACTGCAGCAGCTTCTTCTGCTGGTTTCTCTCCGGCTTCTATTCCCGCTTCTTCACCTCCTCTTTACGCCACTCATTCTACTTCTGCTGCTGCTGCTGCGGCCACAAATCGAGGGTTTTCATCTGTCCATCATGACCTCTATGCGGGTGGGGAAGCTGCGACATCACTTCCCCCATCCACGGCCACTGTGGCTTCTCACACCATGCGCAGTCGCCGTGGAGCTGCCGCCGCCCAGCCGCCAATTCCAGAGGTTTCACCGGATGATCCGATGGCTGTTTTCTTCGGCGCCGACTTCCCGAGTCCGTCGAAGTTTGAAGAGATGCTGCAGGCGGCTGGCGGTTTGCCGGAGGTGCGACGGGTCGGGCGTGGGCATCAGAGGCAGCCGGCGCTGCTTCTGCCAGATACCATTTCCCGTCGTCGGTAATAGACAAGACAAAGAACGAAAAAGAAAAAAATAAAAGAAAGAAAAAGAAAAGAAAAGAAAAAGAAAACAAGTTGGTGGGTGGGGAAAAAATATATATATATGTATGTATGGGAAGAAATAGAAAAAAAAAAAAAAAACAAACAACATGAATCTACAAAGTGATATGACAAAGTTTTTTCTTTGTATTCTCTTTTTTTTTTGTTATTGTCTGCATCACTCTTTTCCTTCACATTTTTATCTATCCCATTCACCCCCTCCCCCTCAAACAAAAATTTGTCAGGGAAAGCTATTCTTCTAGAGGCACCCACAGTACATTAGATCACTAGATACATTGGTTTTCTTTTTATATATATATATCTTTTGGTTTTTTTTTTCGTTTTGTTGCAGATAGCTTATTTCTTCCTTTTTTTTTGTACTCTGTGTTCTTCTTTCTCTCTGTCTGCACGGAAAACGAAAACCATATTGCTTTTCTGTGGTTTTTTTTTCGTTTTATGCAGTGAGTTTTTACTTTTTTTCTGTGCTTTACTCTTTTCATTGTTTTGAGGACATTGTGTACCTTGCGTCCGGATTGAATAAAATAGTAAATACACAAAATGAGAGAATTGAGCAGTATGAGTAGAAAGATAACTTTGAAAGAGATAAAGTGTATGCGAGAGAGCAAGAAAGAAAGAGCATGTGTGTGTTTGTGTATACGAAAGAAGTAAAGAGGAATAAGCTTCTTAGACTGTTAATTTGAAAGTAAGAGAGAAGTTAACACTGATGTGATTGTACATATGCACTATTATTACTATTTCCACCATTTCATGGATGATGATAACTATCTCTCTCTCTCTCTCTCTTTTTTGTCTCTGTGTGTGTGTGTGACTCTCACTGTTTATGTATATTTCTTACAACACACAAACTTTCTCTCTCTTTCTTTCTCTTTCTGAGATCATCGTCAACTCGATGAGAGGCTTTCTGCAGATGAAGTGACACCGTCTCAACAACTGTTCTTGGTTTTTTTTTCTTTATTGCTTTTTTATTTTTATCTTTTTCTTTTGTCTGGATTCCACTGTACTTGTTTAGCAACTTCTCTCTTTTCTTTTCCCCTTTTTTTTCCCTTCTCTCTCTCTGTGTGTATATCCTCCCCTATATATACATATATATATATAATTAACTATTACCACCAAAGGGCGGAACAAAAAAAAAAAAGAACACAAAGAGACAGGGTCTCTTCTATTAATCTCAGCCACACCACCACCACCACCAATAACAATAACCACAACAACAAAAAAACATCAATATCAACAGAAATGTCATCATCATCATCATCATCATCATCATCATCATCAAACACGGCGATGGCGGTGTTGGTGCCGGCAGCACTGCAGCCGCTGGTGGTGGACGGCGGGGCGGAACTCGTCGTGGAAAAACGCACAGGCGGTCGGAAACGTCTTTTCGTGCGGCTCCCAGACGAGGCAGAGCGGCGACAGCGGGCAGCACTCGAACACACGAACCCCAACACTAATTTAAATGCTAATGCCCATACAAATAGACATCAACACGCTCTTGAGCAGTTGCGTTGGGCCCGTGCCACTCTTTGGCACGATGATCGTCTTCGACGTTATTTACGTACTGCCGATTACATGACGTGGCCATCTGTTAGTGAACTCACCGCAATGGTAGATCTCGTCTGCTCTGCAAAGGAGACGGATGAGGTACCTGATTTTGTTGGCGCTAGTGCACTTAAGAGGGCAGTAAAGATCATCGCCGCTGAGGATCTCTACCCCGGTTTGCACCCATTGAAGGAGGAGACACTTACTGGGAAGCTATTGGCCTTTGCGTCAACATCTGGTGATGGTTGCGCAATTGGTGAAACACTACATGAAGTGAATCCAAAGAAAAAACAAAAGGAAAATAAAGAAAAAGAAGAAGAATCTACTACGAGTTCAGTTTGGGTTATAGATTTAAATACACAATCCTTTTCCCTTGATGAGGTTACACGTCTTCAGCTTACAATGTCTGTACAGGAAGAATGTGTAAAAATTATACAGCCCAGTCTGGCTGTTGCAAGCTGTGGTAATTCTTGGAAAGATGTAGTTGCGGTACATCGTCGTAGTATAGATGCGCATTATGTAAGTCTATTTTGTAGTATCCCAGATTGTATTACACATTTTGGTATAAAAGCGGATTATTTAGCAAAGGCTGTAAGTAATGCAGCACAGCAGGGACACCGTGTCCGTTTACGTCTTGGTGTTTACCTTACCTTGATACATCGAAATGAAGTGTATGTGATTAAACGTTCATCTCAACAAGGTATTGTAATGGAGGATGAAGAAGAGTTAAAGGTGAGTTTTGAAGGGAAAACAAGAAAAAATTTTGATATGTACAATGATGCTGGATTACTTTTACATACGTCAGAAGGGGAAAATATTGAGAATATACTCCGTTCACGTTTTTTAAGTCCTCTTGCTTCTGAATGTAAAATTTCCGAGTCGGTGGCACTCACTGCCTTCACAACGATGACCCATGTAGTGGTAGAACACAATCCTATTGCTATTATTCACGGTTCTCGCGTAACAGGTGTATTTCCAGAAAATAATGAGGCACGTGCCGATTTAGTGGAGTTACTTGCATCTCGTGAAGGAGTTATAAATAATCGAGCAGCACAACAACAACAACAACAACGTTATGAACAGAAGAATACGACGGAAACTATGTCGTCTTCATCCTCTCTTGCGTTAACGGGCGAGCAGCTTCGCCGTGGTGTGGATGAGGCAGTCTTTAAGACACTTTCACAAGAACCAATGACGAAAGTAGCATTGAGTGCACATGTGAATATGTCACGATTCCGAGGTCTCTCTAATTTTGATGCAGTTTTGAAAGATTCATTAAAGAGGAACACTGAATACCGTGGGAAGAAATATTACCTGAAGGATTAAAGCAGTCAAGAAGGTCAGATTTCTTCTTTTGTTTATTTTTGACTGTTTTACTCCTAATTTTGTAGTGTTACGTTTTATTCTTTTTTTTTTCGTTTTTTGTTTTTACTTTGATTCTCCTCTTATGGTATTACTTAAATATATTGCTCTTTTATCTCTTTTTTTTTGTCTCGTCCTTATTCTCTTTTGATACTTTTCTTTTTTTCACACGAAGTTTTCGTCAGCGCCCTTACAGGGAACAGTAAGGGGGTGCAGGACTGCCTAAGGTGTAAGAGAGGGACGTATATATATATACATATACACACACACACCAGCAGAGACCATTCTCACAGAATAAGGGAAAAGAAACAAAAGAAAAAAAAAAAGAAAAGAATAAAAAAATATAAAGAAGGAACGTGAGAGTTAACTAGTGATGGGAAAGGGCGCACGCTCCAAGCGAAGTCCCCGCGATGGTGTGAAGAGACGACACACCCCACAACACCGAGCCACAGAAGTGGATCCCGCACTCGTCGAACAGTACCGCAATACACGGCAGCCCATTAAAAAGAGTCAACTCTTCGAGAAACTGCGAGAACAGACAAAAGACGCCAAACGTGTTCGCCGTGAAACGCGTGAACGAGAACGCAAACTATTAAAAGATCGTGCACCTGCGAAGGCCATTCCAAAAACAAAGGAACGTCTACGTCGCCCTGATGTGACTATTGTGGAGGATAAAAATGATACAGAGATTGTGCGAGATGAGGCAGATGATGAATTCGCAGCGTACTTTAAAGAGGGAAAGAAACCTCATATTCTTATCACAACTGGTGAACGTCCATCTTTCCGTACAAAACAGTTTGTAAAGGAAGCACTTTGGTTATTTCCCAATTCTGTTTACCGTCCACGGAAGGATTACACACTGAAGGAGATTACACAGTACTGTATCAACCGTGAATTCACAGATCTTATCGTGATAACAGAACGACTGAAAGAACCGTATAATCTCATCATCTCACATCTCCCTGAAGGACCAACTGCAACATTCCGCGTATCAAATTTCTTAACACACGCGCAGCTATCAGATCCTGCACCTCGTACAGAACATTACCCGGAGCTTATCTTTAAAAACTTTGATACACGTTTAGGTCGTCGTATTCACCGTCTTTTGGAATGTCTCTTTCCATCAATTCGAGATTACGCTGGTCGTGCAGTGGCAACCTTTCATAATCAACGTGATTATATCTTCTTACGTACCCATCGTTATATTTTTGATAGTCTTGAAGCTGTACGAATTCAGGAGATGGGACCTCGCTTTACTCTGAGGCTTTTGTCGCTGCAATCGGGAACATTTGACACCCAGTTTGGAGAGTATGAGTGGTTTCGCAAGAAGGAGCATGACACAGATAAACTTGAATGGTATATTTAATCCATATCTATCTGTTAAACAGTTTCAAACGTGTAAAAAGAGGAGGAACAAGAAGAAAAAGAAAGGAAAAAGAAAATATAGAGGAGGTGTTTATTCCTTTCGTTTTTTTTTTTTTCTGTTTTCCTTCTTTGTACTATTTCTGTTGTTCATTCTAAGTATACTCCTGTCTACATGTGTATGTGTAGTTGCATATTGTGTGTTGTGTGTTGGTTTCTTGGGTTGATAGAAGCAAGATATTATTATCACTATATATATATATATATATAGACACATATGCACACACATACACACATATACCTGGAAAGAAGAAAAGAAGAAATATGTCTGTTTTATTCATGATTCTGATGATAATTGATTATTTATTTTTTTACTATCATTATTATTATTGTTATTATTACTATTACTATATATATATTTTTTTTCTTTTTTCTTTTCACTTTTCATATTGTTATGTTTTATTGTAAAAAAAATAATAATAACAAAAAATAGAAACAGAACTGTGGTGTGGCGAAGAGGATTTCTTCCATGACATCCTCTGATAAGGTGCGAGCGGTCGTAGAGCAGTTGGCCTCTATTAATCCGTACACCAACGCAAAAGATTTACCAGATGTTCCCCGCCCTGAGGAGTCTTCTATTCCACGCGAACTTCCATCGCTGCAACAGTTACCGTATGTGCAGAAAATTCTAAATACTCTTTCCTACAATTTTTTACCGCAGACGTTCTTCTGCTTGGAAAAGCATCGATCACTACAAAGTATTTTACTAACATCAAAGGAAATTCTAGCAGAAGCACTTCCAATTCGCTGTTTGGAGGCCACTTTTGTTGCGCTTTATCTTACACATGGAATGATAGATGTTGATCGAATTCCACTCTCTTTTAAGTCTCGTGCGAAGGGACGTCCATATCATCATATTGTTCTTGTTATTCGTTGCAGTAGTCTCTATGGGGCTGTAGGTTTGAGCCGTAAAGTAACGCTTATGGATAAACCCATGGTGTACCGCAGTTTATTTGATCTTATCATGGAATACAAGAAACAGTATGAGGTGATTGGTCATGAATTGGTGGACTTTAAATTAGGACTTTGTGTGAGTCATGAGGCACACTCACGGCAGGCCCCATGCTGGCGTTACATTCGCGTAGGTGTGAAGAACCCCAACAGTAATAGCAACAACAATGATATTACTACTACCACTACTACTACTACTACTACTACTACTACTACTACTACTACTACTAATAACAATAATAATACCATCAACAACAGTAATAATAATATTAATAATAATAATGCTATGACAACATTCCGCAACGTGTCGCCGCGCTCGTGTGGAGATACGAACACGGAGTCCAGCGATGCGGGCGACGGGCTGCAGGATGTGACGGTCCTCCTCGCCCACTACACCGCAATGCTCCACACCATCTCTGAACAGTATGAAAAACATGCAGCCCCATGCGCTCCTCCAAGTTCCGCACGTCATGTGGAGGCCACGTGTTTGAAGGATTTACACGAATTAGACGACGCACAGGCACGTGAGGAGAATAAAAGACGATTGGAGGAACTTCGTTGTGGACGATCACCATGTACGTTAGTAGATACCAGCGCAAAGAAACGAGCTGCTTCTCGTTCAGTTTCAAAGAAACGTGGGGAGTTGATGGGAGGCGGCGGGGGTTTGGCTTCCAGTAGGAGTACAGGCGTGCAGAATGCCGTGGTGACGGCGAAAAAGGCTCTAAAGAAAGAAAATGATGTTTGTATGCAACAACATCATAATCACAATAATATTCATCATAGTCATCCGCAAGCACCAACGCAACCACAACCACAAAAAGAAGAAGAAGAAGAAAAGGATCATAGTCATAATCATAATAACCATCATCCTCATCATCAAGATCAAGATCAACATAAGGAGTTGTCGTTTGTGGCTAGAAACACTCTCCCTGTTGTCTCATCAGCTCCAGTAGGAAGATTTGGTAGTGGTGGCCCTGATGTACTTAGAGCGGAAACTCGAAAAGCTCCTTCGCCACTGTTAGCTTCTTCACTTCCCTTGCTTGATATGAAGGTAGATGGATGTGGTTCTTTAATGAATTCACCTGATAGTTGCTTGGAGTTAAATGTCCTGCCACATTGTAGCTCAGGTGAGACAAACTTTCAGGATCTCCTGTTGTGACATTTTTCTGTGAAGTGTATAATGTTTCTTTGTAAAAAAAAAAAAAAAAGAAGATTAAGAAAAGAATGTTTTTTTTTTTTTTTCTTTATTCTTCCTGCGTTTGAAAACGCTTTGGCAGGTTTGTCTACCTGTATCTTTTTTTTTTGTTTTTTTTTTTCGTATTGTCTATGTCTTTATATGATGATATCCCCCTTCCTCCTTTCATTTTATCTGTATTTATATTCCCCCCTTACCACCCACCCCTTCTCTCTTAAGAACTTTATGCTTATAAGAGAAAAAAAAAAGGAGAGAGAAAGAGAGAGAGGGAGAGATAAAGAAACACGTAAGAATGGAATGAACAAAAAGTTTCTTATTTATTTATACATATATATGTATGTGTTTTTTTTTTTTTTTTTATTCCTCTTCTTCTTTATCCTTGGAATAGTTTTTTTTCTTAAGACAGTTTAAAAAAGAAAAAAGAAAGAAAAAGAGTAAACCATGACGGAAAGTGCAGTTGTGGGAACTCTCCGTGATCGTGGAGTTGTGCTGTTTGGGTGTTTCTCATTCCTGTTCTCTGTACTGTCACAACGTATAGGTCTTCACAAGTATGAGTCCACCATTGCAAATGTTCGCACAGAAGATGATACCACTTTAACCGCTGGATTTTTCCCTAATTTTATGCAGGTAGCGAAATTAGCCTTACCTACAATATGGTGTAAAGAGTTTATTGGTACAACGGTATTTATCTTGCTTTTTCTGGTAAAATCTATTTTACGTGTAATCCTCTCAAAGGCTAATGGGAATCTCCTAAACGCGATGCTGCGAGGTAGCAGAGAAGAACGCATACATGGATTTTTTAACGCATTAATGTTGCGTACGGCATTAACATTAATGTCTGCTGTGTCTAGTGGATCTGTTGAACATCTTCGATCATGGCTTATTGGTTGTTACCGTGTACGATTGAGTCGATATTTTCAACGCCGTTTCTTTAGTAATTTGGTATATTATCAAGCCACTGTTTTGGATAACCGTTTATCAGCAGCAGATACAGTAATTGCTACATACTGTGGAGAGTTCGCAGAACATTTTGCTGAACTTCCATACTACTTTATTCTTCCCTTTTTTGAATGCTCTACTTCTTTAATTGCATTAACAAAAGAAGTCGGTGGACGAGTTTCGGCATTGGCGTGTGGTGCTGTAGTGATATCTGTACTTTTACTACAAAAACTTTCACCTGCATTTGGTCGAATTCATGCTTCTCTTCTCGCTAAAGAAGATAACTACCGTCGTGTATTAACAAATGATTTAATTAATGTGGAGAGTATTGCGATGCATGGAGGTGGTGTATACACCAGACGGAAAGTTGATGCTCAACTTAATCAAGTAAAACGTTCTTTGGATTTTGTTGCTCTTGCGAAAGGAGACTTTGATCTTCTGGAGGTTGCCTTCTCTGGACTTTTGCAGACTCTTTCTAGTATTGTTGTATTCTATGGTTCTTTACAAAATGCTAAAAAATCATTAAATGATATTTATGTAGAATTACAATACTTACAAGACTTGAATGATAGTGTTAAGAGTTTTGTTATAAATTTCCGTGAAGTTTCTCATCTCGCCACCTTTACAACTAAACTTGCCGAGTTTGATACAACTCTTGATAGTATTGCAAAAGGTACTTTTATTCGTTCAATGGGTAATCTTCCTGTAATTGACAGTAATGCAGCCAGTCCAAGTCGATATACACATATTAATTACATCACCCATCCTGAAGGAGCCACACATTTTACACTCTTTGGATTTTCCTCATTAACACTTGCAACACCATCTGGACAAGTGTTATTAAGTGATTTTAACTTAACTATGGAGAGTGATCAGGATTGGGTTATTGTTGGAGAAAATGGAACTGGGAAAACTTCATTACTTCGTATGATTTCTGGTCTTTGGTTACCTGCTCAAGGTATATATTCAATGGAAAAGAGTGTCAAATTACTTTTTGCCCCACAACATAGTTATATGGTACCACAGTGTACTTTATTTGAACAACTTCTCTTCCCTCAAGTTCCTAAAACAATTACCGAAGAAGATATTGAATATTTTAGAGAAGCCATTACACTTGCTGGAGCTCAATCTGTTATTGATTTACTTGGTGGAATGGAAAGCCCTTGTGTTGGTGTAGATTTAAAAAATACAGATGATACATATGATTGGAGTTCGCTTAGTGGAGGTCAAAAACAACGTATAAGTATGGCCCGTGTCTTTTATCATGTTTTAAAGATGAGACACAGTCAAGTAATACCAGTCGCAATATTAGATGAAGCTACATCAATGATGGATGAAACTGAAGAGGAAGTTTTACTTAATTTGCGAAGATTGGGTGTTCGTATGCTTTCCGTTACTCATCGTGATAACGTCATTGCACATCATACACATGTGTTAAAAATTCTTCCTCGAGGAAAGTGGTCATTTGAACCCGTTACATCTCGTACACCTGTAGAAACAAAAGTAGAGGAAGTCTAAAAAAAAAAAAAAAATAAAAAAAAAGAAAAAGATATATGAGAGGAGGAGAAGAAGAATAATCGGGAATGCTGTACGGAAAATAGCATTTAAATGCCATTTTTTCTTTTTATTATTTATTATTTATTATTTATTATTTATTATTATTATTATTATTATTATTATTATTATTATTATTATTATTAT